GGAAAGGGAGTAATTGGGGGTTATCAAAGGCTTTGATGACAAGGTGGCTTTTTATCAGCAACTACGTGGGACTAGAGGGCAGGATATGAGGGGGAGAGCATTCTGCTGAGAGGCAAGTGCAAAGGCCCAGGGGTGCTGACTGACTATTATGTTTTCTCAAGGACAAGCAAGGAAGTAAAGAGGCCAGTTCAGAGCAAGAGGGTCTGGGAGTGTAACTCAGTGGTCAAGTACATGCTTAGCATGTGGGAGGCTCCATCCGTATTCAACATCCTGTACCAATAAAAAGAGAACGAGGCAGGAAGGCAGAAGATGAGAAAGAAAAGACCAGAGGACCTTGGGAGTGACAGCCAATGTTAACTGGACTAAGAACTCCAGCTGCATCCTACTCAGGTCTGGACATTATTAGAGGTTTGAACCCAACAGCAGTACTGGCTGACTTGCATTTGCTCTGGTTTATTCCAGTTTCTGCCTGGAGCAGCATTTCTCAACCTGGGAGTCACGACCCCCCCCCCCCCCTTCCACAGGGGTTGTTGCTTAAGACCACCGGGAAACACAGAGGTTTACGTTATGATTCGTAACAGTAGCAAAATGACTTGCTAACCCTGGTGATTTCTAACCATTTCTACCTCCCAGGGAGTCTGTGACAGAGACTGAGGAACAGATCCTAGATGGCCCAGGTGAAGACTTCCCCCCTCCTTCCCCCTCCCCTTTCTTCCTTTCTCTCTCCCTCCCTTTTCCTTCTTTTCTCCCTCCCTCTCCAGCCCTCTCCCTCTCTCCTCCTCCCTTTCCCTCCCTCCCACGTAGTCATTGGTTTCATTTTCAATTCTAGAAGCAGGCAGCCCTTTCCTCCATTAAACAGAATGGTGTTTCCATGAGTCAAGCAGAGGAAGTTGGTTTTGTAGAATAAAGAACAGAACAGAAAGAGCTAATTGTGGGGCCGCAGGGGACCCCAGGGGACGTCAGAGCCTGTTTGGGAGCTTTGGGTGTCCTTGTTCTAATCCTGGTTTCTAGATGGTCAGGTTAAGTGGATGAGTTTCCGCTTGGTGCTAAATGACTTCAGCAAGAACGATGCCATTTTTACCTTTAGCCTGGTCTGTTGAGGCGAGTGCAGGACCTTAATCGAGCACAACGGCCTCCTCTGATTTTTTTAATTAACAATATTCCACACTAAATCATGCTGTCACCCAGCTACAAAACAGACCTCTGTCACCTTCCTCAGTCACGGTCTCAAGATCACACGGTGATTGGAGCTTTGACTGATCCACCCCAAGAGAGACCGTTTGACATTCAACAGATGACTGCAAACATTTAAAACTTTTAGAGAGGACCTAGGACAGCAGAGGGTGGCTGCTATGACTGTCGGGAAGATAATAGCGAAAGTCTGGAGTGTGCTCCTCAACTAACTAAATCAAACCAAGGACAGTTAATGGATCAGAGGACCGGAGGAGTAGTCCACCTACCTCAACCAAGCCTTCTGCCCATCACTTTTTGCAACCGAGTCTCTGCAGCGCCCGATACGTTTATCAATGAACAATGAGAAGTGACCCAGGAGCTGGCTTTTCTGTCTGCTGGGATGAACAGAACAGAAGAACAGGAAGTACCTCAGACTGAGGAGCTTCCTCAGAAAGCTTATGACCTTGCCTGCAAGTCTCCATCCTTGGTTCATTTTTGCGCTTTGCCTTAGAAGTCCAGGCCCAGAACAAGAATGAGCTGGAGCTTCAGAATGCCACTGGACAACCTTGAGACTGGAGCGGGGTATGGAAAGACTTATTCTTTGGATTACACTGAGTGCTGCTGACATCAGCTCTGGGTTGGTGCCTCTTAACCTTTTCTGGAACCATATTTGACCACGGTGGTTTGAGGGGGAGCTGACGGTGGTGAAGAGCCGGAAGGCACCAAAAAAGAGGTGGTTAGTGACAGCTTCCAATGGACTCGGGACAGTCTGACTGCTCCTACGGACATCCCCAAGGCTACATGCATCTCACAGAACATCTTAGCAAAAGAGGCACTAAGGCATTCAAGGTAGGTTTCTATCCCTTTGCCGGGAATAAAGGAGTGGGAATATCCGTCATCTTCAGGTCCGACACTAATGCTGGAACTAATATGTTTGCCTTCTGAATGTCTTCCAAGTCTTCCAGTCTTCTGATGCCACCCCTTGATAGTCAAATAAAATACCTGAGTTTTAAGGCTGAGATGGCCCAAACCCTGACCCAGTCTGCTGCCTCCTGGTTAAGCAGACATTCAGCCTAGCTCCTGGAGCAGCTGCACTCCTTTATCACCGTCTTTTCAAACACCAGGCACAGCTCTTCCTCCTCCACCTACTCTCCCCCTCATAAAGACATCACACAAGGCAAAATATCTGTTAAAGTTCTAGGGAGGCAATGAAGAGCATTGCAACGCAGAAGAACATTCAAGAAAGAGAATCAAGCAGGTAGCAAGAGGTCTGCTGTGGACCAGCTTAGTCCTTCAGCCCGCCTCTGAGAACATCCCTCTCCGTCGTACTTTGCATCTCTCCTGGAAGCTCAGCTCACCCATGCACACTGCCACTTGGGAAAGCCCAGGGGTATTCCTAGCCTGTCATCACAAAGGCTTGCTGGGCTAGAGGGTGTGGAACAACGTGAGCGCTTGCTTGCCTTGCCTAACTTCCCGTGGGAGCGCTCAGCACCACCCCACACTGCTTTCTTATATTCTCAGGACTCTCGTCTCAGCAGGGAAATAGCAAGACAGCAAGGGAAGATTCTGCGGGTAAATTTCCTCTCTCCAAAACTCCCCACAGGGCGGATCTCACCAATGAAGAGAAAGCATATGGTCCCAGGAACAGCACCATGCCTGTGTTTACCCTCTGGGCTGCTTCTGAGACATTGCTTCCCACAACCCCAGCCACACTCTCTCTGAGGATGAGTGCTACATCTAAGTCTGCCCTCTCTAGAAAAATACTTCTTAATGAGCAGAGACAACTCCAGCTGAACCTCGATGTCACATTCACCTGGCCAGAGCTTGTGACCCTCAGCCCACTGCCTTGTCCGGTGAGCTACCTCTGTTCATGCCCCCAGTACTCACTCTAGGAGGCTTGGCAATGTTTACCACACAGAGACTGGGCAAAGGTTTACAGAGAACCTCCACACAGATCCCAGAAAAATCTCCCTGATGAATAAAAGTTTCTTAGCAAAAACAAGCCAGCAGAGTTCAAGGCATGCCCTGGCCCTGTGCCCTAGGGAGCTCTTTTCCGAGGCCAGGAGGGGCCGAGTGCAGCTGACCGGTGCTGCTGTTTGCGCTCTTTGTGAGCTTTTCACAGGGAGACCCTCGTTCAGATCAAGTGCCGCGATCTCTCGGGGTCTCATAAATCAGGAAAGTGTTACATCACAGGCGGCTGGGTCGTTCTCAGGCTCCCACCTGCGGCTGAGGAAAAAAACAAGAGCAGGCTGTCTTGCAGGGAGAGAGGCGGGCGGGGAGGAATGCGATGAATCGCGATCTGAAAAATTCAGCCCAACGGTTCTAATAGGGTCAATATTTAGGCTACAGTATTTGCCTGGACCCATTACGCAATTCGTCTTCCCACAAGAAGACCCAAATGATCTGGCCAATTTATTTTTATGGAGTTAAATTAGACACTATTTATACACTGAAGAGGTTTCCAAAAACGGCTGTTGAAGGAAGGTACCATTAGTTTTTTTCCCAAGTCTGTTTGCCTTTGGGCTATTCTGGATTGCTTTTGTTTGGCTGTGGTCTCTGAGTAAGACAGTGGGTGCTATTTCTAAGGGCGGGTGAAATAATATCAGCTGTCTGAATATGTAGATTGTCCATCCTTGAAACGGGGGTGGCATATGGTGGAAACAGACCGGGCAGAGTGTGTGAGCTGGAGGCACACATAGCTGCACGCCACCTGGGTGTAGGGTTTAAGGAGCAACAAAGAGAGAAGATTTCAGTTCCCAACAGGGCCAGGTCCTCTTTTCCACATTTCTTCCCCTGCTGACACCAGAACTAAAGAAGAGCCACAGAAACGAGCTGAGGAAGCACACACTATGACAGTCGGATGCGCAAAGACACCTTCTTGTCCTTCTCGGCTTTTCCAAAATGGCTCCGCCCGCCCTAGACCTCCATCTTTAGCAGGCAGGTGTAAAGCCTACAGAAGAATGTCTCAGAATCGCAGGGGGCTGGCTGCTGCACGGCCTGAAGGCACAAATGCAGGGCAAGGGAAACAGAGAGCTGGAGGAGCCCACAGAAGGAACATGAGCGTGAGATCGGGGACTCAGCTGTTCAGAAGAGTGGCCTTGGTCATGGAAGGACATGGACAGAGGCAAGACACTGTCCAAGGAGCAGGGGATGGGATGTAGTGACTTGAACCCACTGGTTTGATATGAAACCTCCTGCCCTTTCTAACCTCTGCTCCTGGGAGAGGTGGAAGCCTGGGAGCCCGGAGAAGACACTTGCCTATCTTTAGTTTCTGACAATCTTCACTTCTCCATGACAGGAACTCCTAGAACACTTCCCAGAACCCCGTCTCTCCTGAGTGGATGGCGTCTAGCCCGCCGCCGCCCCCCGCCGTGTCTAATAACTAGAAATCACTTGTGCATCTCTCAAAATGCTGAATCTGTGTATTCCCCCACTATCCAGCCATTTTCATATACTTTTAAACTACAAGACTCGGGGAAAGAGCATGTGGCAACTTTTCTACCATAGTCAAAAATAGCCCCGGCTCCTAGGCGATGTCTTCAGCTGTCACGATTGTGCTCCCCAGGCGCTGGCTCTGAGTCAGGATCCTTTATCTTGCTGACTGCTGAATGTCACCTGGATTTAGGTGCTTGCTACCATCTGCCGCCACCATATGGGAACCCGAGGCCTCATTTATCTTCCCAGAGTTGTGGGACAGATTGACAAGGTGCAAAAGAAAAGACTGACACTATTTACACATTCCCCAATCCTGATAACTATGTACAGACCGGGGAGCACTGATTGGAAGCAATATTTTGGAACCAAATCTGCCACCAATGTTTACGTACCTTACAAATGACGTTTGTGAATGTTCAGCTTTCCGCTCGTGGGATGAGGACGATAACAACATGGACACAGTAGCATTTGTCACTCCCTCCTATCTCTGGACAATGCAGGAGCCTAAAGGAAGGGGTGAGATGGAGACTTAATGCACTCCCAGGAACCCAAGTGTCTGGTGTAATGTCCTTTTGGAGGTATGGCCCCTTCTCTCACGAAACTGAGATTTCAATACCCAAGTGTTGGTTTTAAAAAATAATAAGCGGCACTGGTTACCGTGCGAGGAAAGGTCAGAGGCACGACAAAACCCAGTATCAGAGCTTTATGGGGGGGGGGGGGGGCGGCGCAGAAAAGAGCATGGCCAGGCCTGGGGTAGAGACACGTGCAGAAGAGAGAGAGTGGGGGATGAGTGGGGGGAGGAAAGAGCAGAAGAGAGGGGAGGAGTCTACGTCCGGCTTTTTAAGGATTCCCCTGCACATGTGCAGGGGGGCTTATGGAGCTAAACCACGCATGCGCTGATTACGTGACCACGCTGCGTGCACTTGCACAATCACGCAGCGCATTGATGACGTAAGACTCCTTACTTAGCTACTAAATTACGCATGTGCGGTCATATAGCTGGAGTGGCAGAATCCTAGCACTAAGGATTTCAGGCTGTTATTTCTTTATAATTTCAAAGGTTTTAAAAATTAAAAAACAACAACTTGTGTTTGAATCACAGATAAAATTGAGAACTATTTGCAAAGGTGCACTGCTTTCCTATTACAGACTAAATAAAGTAGGGTAAATGTAGCACACTTTGAAATTCTATAATCCTAGGATTGGGGCTTGAATATTTCCTAAATGAAATCATTGTACTTGAATATTGATGGTCAAGATTAACTATCCCACACTGCATTCTCTTCAGATTCAGACAAAAGGACAAACAGCTAGCACAGCTCTCAAAGCTCTAAGCGTGGAGTTGGGGGTTCTATGTCACAAGCATTTTCCTGTGTATGTAGAATGCCCAAAGACTTAGAGGAAAAGGACAGACAGGAAAAAGCCACATCTGGCTTTCCCCTGACGGTGAGGATCTTGATGAGAAGTGAAGGGGGTAGGAAATAGGCAATTCAACATGGTGAACGGAAATAGGCAATTCAACATGGCCAAAGGAAATAGGCAATTCAACATGGTGAATGGAAATAGGCAATTTGACATGGTAAATGGAAATAGGCAATTCAACATGGCTAATGGAAATAGGCAATTCAACATGGTGAATGGAAATATACAATTCAACATGGCGAATGGAAATAGACAATTCAACATGGTGAATGGAAATAGACAATTCAACATGGTGAATGGAAATAGACAATTCAACATGGCTGCTGTATTGGGGTTTACCAGGGAAGCATAATCAGCTGGGGATACAGAGATACATAAGCGGGATTTATTGTGGGGGTTGGCTCTTGTCATATTACAAGCTGAGATGTTTCATGATGTGCTATCAACAAGCTGAAGGACCAGGAAAGCCCTCAGTGTCCAAAGTCCTAGGGTCCAAAGCTCCAAAACACACAGGGAAACATGTTTGCCCTGCTCTGCTTTGGTTTATGTCCACCTAGTGACAGGGGATCATCTTGTCTCAGTCTATGATTCAAATGCTAATTTCTTCCAGGAATGCCCTTAGGGACACCAAGAAATGTTTTCTTCATGACCCTGGTGTCCCTTAGCCCAGTCATGGTGACTCAGAAAAGTTATCCTGCCACAATTCCAGAACTCATAGAAGGTAATTAATTAGTGCTCTTGGCACCAGGAAGGGGTTTAGCAAGGACAGTGGCCAGAGAGGCCAACAACGGTTTAGGAGCTGAGTTTATAAGGTGGAATGTTGGTAAATCTGTGTGTTGGGAGAAGGGCCAGATGCAGAAAGTCCGGAAGCAGATGGTAGCTGGCCCAGAAGGCCCATCCAACAAGGTGTCCGGCTGCCTCTGACTTCTCCTCAATGTTCTCCCAATTCACCACTGTCACAGTAGCCTTTAAAACCGTGACTAGCAATGGTCACAGTGCCTTTACCTTCAGTGCACCCTCTGCATTATGACTCCAGCATCCCATGACCTAGGGACAGTGCCCCTTCCTACAGGTGTGTGAGGAAATGGATGGATGCAGCCCTCTGTGGTGGAACTGGCAATCACCATCAATCAGCCTTCTACCTAAGTGTTTTCAACTCAGCATACTGATGGATTCTTTCCATGGCAATGAAGCCTTGATTTTCATAAAAGCCAACTGGAAAATATCATCTCCTTTACCAACAGTTGCTACCCTTCCAAGCCTGCTAGATGAGATCTAGTCTATAAATCACCAGATATATTTATTTGCAGAATTTCTCCTGAATAACCACTAGCGTCTCCCCAGCCCTATAAAAGTCCCTGATTCTCAATGATTCTAAAAAGGAATGCGCTTTTCCCATTATGAAGGCAATTTGGCCAAAAGTACACTTTGTAAGCAAATGTAAAAGCGACCACCCTGTTGAAGAGAGTTTTACAGCTTGGCCTTGGTAGTTCTGTGTAGACAAGGGCCTTTGATTTTATGGTGAATGTTTTTCCTCAAGGCAGTGACTATTTCACAGACTTCCCTAACAAACACAGATAAGGTTCTCATTATAAGAACAGTATCCACCTGTAGAGCCAGAGAAGCATTGGTGTGGGCAGAGGGGAGTGAGTGGGTCACTCCAGACTTGCTAGTCTGGGCTTCTAGGCACAGAATGGAGTTGTGGTGGAAGAAGATGTTGCAGTCTTTCTACTTGGAAATAGGAGGATTCCCTCAGTTCTTGGCCTAAGAAAATTCAAGAAATTAAAAGGAAGAGAGATGCATTTTATTAGAGACTAGGGATTTATCTATTTATTTATTCATTAATTTATTTATTTAGAGACAGAGTCTGTTGTAGCTCAGGCTGGCCTTGAACTCCCGAATCTTGCCTCTGTGTCCTTCCAAGTGCAGGGCTTGTGAGCCTACACCATCATACCCAATTTTATGGTGGACTTTATACAAACTAAGCAAGTGCTTTCTCAGCTGAGCTACACCCCTAGCTAAGAGGACTTGTTCTGTGGTCCTAGAGTACTCTCAAGTTTTCTCTGCCCCCACTGTGTGTTCCTACCCCATGTTTGACCATTTAAGATCAGGCGAGGCCTTCCCAAGGGGTAGATCAATTCTAGAACAAGGGACTGTATCTCCAGGAATTAGTTATCACCTAGCTCTGTGAGAGGAGTCTCTATGCCCAGGAGTATTTTCAAAGACAGTACAAAGCTTTCCAAGGGGTTTATAAAAACCAGCCTAGTGGCCCAAGGTTTTTGACAAAAACTCGCATCCCAGGGAGGTAAGAGAACTCAGCTGGGTGCACAGAACTTTCCAATTTCATCTGCTTGGCAAAAGCGAAGTGAAAGATCCCTTAAGGGGCCAGGGCAGCCAAGGGGAGCTGCTGGCCTCTGTTTTTCTTTCTGGGCCCTGCCAAGAATGACATCACCTAGCTGGATTATTAGCAGGCCCTATCAGCAAACACAATCCCACCCATCACATCAAAGCAGCCCCACATATGTGCATGCCGGTCAGGGAGCCAGTTTCCACCAGCTTCGTGCCATCTTTAAACAAACCCGAGGTGGTCTCCTGAGCTGAAAAGTCACCAGTGACCTTATTTTTTAACAGGGAGGAAGATGATTGGGGGGGGGGGTGAGGTCAACCGCCATGACAACAAAGCCTATTAATTGTGGAGATTTGACGCACCACAAAGCAAGGTGGTCCTCCTGGATTCAGAAAACTAATATTTATGGTAAGCACCTGAAATGGAATGGCCGGGGTCAAGGTGTAAGCTGCTGAGCCTGTAAAGAAGACAGGCCCCCTCTGTCCTTCCTTCAATCAGAATAACCACAGAGTGAGGGAGTTTGGAGAAGACTGCAGAAATGGCCTGCAGAGGGAAGAACTCTTTCCTCTCTTCTCCCGATGTAGGTTTCTAAGATGGGCCTTTCAGAGAATCTTATGGCAGAGGAAACTTAGAGACCACTTCTCCAACAGCCTCATGGCGACATAGATGAGCTTAAAACTTCAGAGGAGGAGCCCAAGTCTAGAGAGGCAGCCAGCTAACTTTTGGGAGGAGCTAAAGCCAGAGTGCTTGCAAGATGGACAGTCCCCTGTTGGGAAAAGGAAAGAAGAAAAAGTGATTAGGCATTTATATGAACAATATAGTCAGTCAGTTTGTAAAAATGACCCCAAGATTAGTGTCCTTGCCTCCAACATACATTGGACCAACTTCGGACTCTCACGAGCCCCTGGTCCATCTCTCTGGATACAGCACGCACAGCAGCTTGCTTCTCTGAGTGTTCTGTTCCTCCTCAGATAGAGTTCAGATAAGCAGAACCGCATTTCGAGTGGTTTTTAGTGTCTCCCCCTTTCTTATCCTCCCAGAGGACCTCCGTCCTCCAGCCTAATTTTAGAGAGCATCAGAGGAGACCAGGACCCTGCATTCCTTTATTCAATCTGTCTGTCAGACATCGGCAGTTAGTGCCACTTATGCTCAAGGTTCTGGGACTTCTATCTGACTGAGCAAGGACAGAGAGAATCCATATTAAAACTGGCCCAGAGACATTAATTTCCTGAACACTAAACAAAATTCACCTTGCAGTGTCACTAACCACATTTACTAAAAATACAATTTATTCTTAGTGTTACTGTTGAAACACCAACGAACTGAATTCAGATTTAGAATCAAACACAGGTATTTTTAAATTCTGGGGTTAAGGTGAACATTGCGTTAGTCTTGGATCTCTCCGATGTAGACATGAGGACACAATTAGACAGGATTTATTAGGAGACTGTGACGGAGGTCTGACCCACAGTGCAGGGGAGGGGAAGAAAAGAGGAGGGGGGGGCGATTCACCCTGGACTGCCCTGCATTAGAGGGAAAGTTTGGAAGGCCTCAAGGCAAGGCCCAGCTCTCACAAAAGTCTCCTGTTCCCCAGGCTGATTCAGTTATGCTCAGGCTGTGACAGACCTTGGGATGCATGCCCTTGGTGAAATCAGGGTAAGAGATTTCACAGGACGGGAGCCTGGGCCCTCTGTTAGTTAAATTCCCCAGAGTACAAAGTTTAATGGCTGCCCCAAGCCTCAAAATAGTCCCCGGACTGAGCCTTACAGCACAGAGGATATGTAGAATATACTGGTAAGATCTGGA